CTTTGTTTTCTATTTGTTCTCTCTGGTTTGTTTGTTTGTTTGTTTGTTTCTCTGTTTTCTTTTTTCCTGATTGATTTCTTATGGGTTATTAGAATAACTTTTAGAATTCTATTTTGATTTCTCTATAGCGGTTTTCAGTGTTTCACTTTGTGTAGTTTTTATAGTGGTTGCTCCATACATAACTCATCACAGTTTACTGGTGTTGTCATTTTACCAGTTCATGAGAGGGTGGAAGATTTATCTCCCTTTACAACTTTATAATATATAAGTAAATATTTCTTCTACCTACATTTAGAACTATATCAGACAGTGTTATAATTTTGGATTCAACCATCAAATATAATTTAGAAAACCCAGGAGGAAAAGGAAAGCCTATTGCATTTACCCACATTTTTGTTTACTGTGTTTTTTCTTTTTTCCTGATGTTTTATTTTATTTTTAATATATATATATATTTTAAATATATTTTATTGATTTTTTACAGAGAGGAAGGGAGAGGGATAGAGAGCCAGAAACATCGATGAGAGAGAAACATCGATCAGCTGCCTCCTGCACGCCCCCCACTGGGGATGTGCCCGCAACCAAGATACATGCCGTTGACCGGAATCGAACCCGGGACCCTTCAGTCCGCAGGCCGACGCTCTATCCACTGAGCCAAACCGGTTCCGGCTATTTTTAATATATTTTATTAGAGAGAGAGAGGAATACAGAAGGGGAGAGAGAGAAACATTGATTGGTTGCCTCCCATAAGTACCCTGGACAGAACCCGCAGCCCAGGTATGCACAGGATGCACCAGGGTGCACAGGATGAACCTTCACCAACTGAGCCTCTCTGGCTGAGCTAATGTTCCATGTAAAATGGATTTCTATCTCTTTGGAGAACTTCCTTTGTCCATTCTTTTATGGTAGGTCTACAGGCAACATTTTCTCTTCACGAAAGATATTTTCACTGCATATAGGCTCCTGGGTGAACAGTTATTTTTTTCAGCACTTTAGAAGTATTATGTCACGTCCCTCTGACCTCCATGGCTTCTAATGAGAAATTTACTGTCATTCAAATTATTATTGTCCTATGGGTAATGGGTCAGTTTTCTTTCTCACTGCATTCAAGATTTTTCCTTCTCTGTAGTTTTCAGAAATTTAACAATGATGTCTTTTGGTGTGGATTTTTATGGTTTATCTTGTTTTGAATTTCTTAGGCTTCTTGAATCTTTGGGTCTGTGTCTTTTGCCCAATTTAAGAAGTTTTCTCCTTTCCTTCTGGGATTCCAATGAAAAAATGTTAGATCTTTTGTTATTGTCCCATAGGTCCCTGAAGCTCTGTTATCTTTTTATGGTCCATTTTTTCTCTACTGTTCAGATTGGGTAATTTTTATTTTTCTGTCTTCTAGTTCACTGATTTTTGTTTGTTCATTCGATTCTATTATTGAACTCACCAACTGAGTTTTTCATTTCATTGTATTTTTAATTTGTAAAATATCCACTGGCATTTCTTTATATTTTTTTTGCTGCACTTTACATTTCTTTGCTGAAACTCTCAATTTTTCATGTTGCCAAGCATATTTGTAATAAGCATGAAGCATATTTTGAAGTCCATCTAAAAATCTTTGTAGATAATTCTAACACTCTGCCTCCTTGGTGCTGGCATCTATTAACTATTTCATTCACTTTTATATCTTTCCAGTTCTTGATATGACCCAGATAGTACCTTCCTAGATGTGCATTTACCCCAAAATAACTCTTGCCCAAGTGCATGAGATATATTCCATAATGCTTATAGCAGCATTCTTCATAGTAACAAAACTCTTAGAGAAACCCCAAAGTAGGTCAACAGTAAAATGAATGTAAAGGTAAAGGTGTATACAGTGGAATACTATAGAGCACTCTAATGAATGAACTACATTAACATGGATGAATTCAAACCTAGTGATAAAAATAAGTAAGCCCACAGATGATCCATACTACATTAATCTACTTATATAAATTGCAAAAATAGACAAAGCTAAACAATGATATATGCATATCCTCTGCAACTGTAAAAAAATAACAAATAATTAAAGATTCAGGATAAGTGTTGATTTTCACAAGGATAAAAGATTTAATGATGGACGCACACAGGGGTTTCCAATGTCTTTGCATTGTTCTCATTCTTAAACTGGGTGATAGGTACATGGGTGAACATTTTATTATTTTTATTTTAAATTGCACATATACACTCTGTACACTTTTTGAATGTTTAATAGATTTAAAACTAGAGAAAGCAAAAACAAAAAGCAATGTATCTGGAGTCAGGATGCCTGGTTTAAAATCCTGATTCCACCACTTACTAAAGTAACCTAGGCAGTTTACATTAACTCTTTTTTAAAAAATACATATTTTATTGATTTTTTTTACAGAGAGGAAGGGAGAGGGATAGAGAGTTAGAAACATCGATGAGAGAGAAACATCAATCAGTTGCCTCCTGCATATGCCCACAACCAAGGTACATGCCTTGACCGGAATCAAACCTGAGACCCTTCAGTCTACAGGCCAATGCTCTATCCACTGAGCCAAACTGGTTAGGGCTACTTGAACTCTTTATGTCCTACTTTGCCCATCTCTAAAATAGGGATGTCAATTGTACCATTATTTTGAGGATTAAGCGAGATATGTGTAAATAATTTAGAAAACAGCCAAGTATATAGCCAGGGGTGGGCAAACTTTTTGACTCGAGGGCCACAATGGGTTCTTAAACTGGACCGGAGGGCCGGAACAAATGCATGGATGGAGTGTTTGTGTGAACTAATATAAATTCAAAGTAAACATCATTACATAAAAGGGTATGATCTTTTTCTTTTTTAGTTTTATTCATTTCAAAAGGGCCAGATCTGGCCCACGGGCCGTAGTTTGCCCACGGCTGAATTATAGACAGTGTATAACAATAATAATACATTATATATAACATAATTTTTAATAATTATTATTTCCCCTCATGACCTACTTTTAAAAACTGTAAGGCTCATTTCTAAAGAAATAAAAGGAGTTTTCTGGAGAGCACTAAGATATTTAGTGAATCTTGGAATCGCAGCATAAAATCTTTTGTCATTTGAAGGGCCAAGTGCTGAAGAGCTCCCTGCCTATTTATTACAATGCACCCTAAAGTAAGATCTGTTATTTTATAAACCTGGCCCTGAACTGATTCACACAAAACACCTTGTCACAACTTCCACTTAGAAACTTGGGTGCAAACTGCCCTATCCTACGAAAGCAGAAAAGACATAGAACAGCAACCTTGACTTTATAGAAGTAAAGATCCATCTGAAAGAGGTTTGAAAGTGTAAGTGAGAAACAGTTAACAGAAACAATAATAATTCTTTTATTTTCTCTCATACAGCAAATTAGAAGAAACTATTGCTAGTGGAATAAGAAATGGAGGTTTCAGTTTGTGCAGAGAAGTAAGGGAAAATAGTGATATAGCTATGTGAAGGATGGATGAGAGAAGGTTAAGTGTTCTAGGTACTAAACAATAATAGCAGGAAATTTGCCGTAGACCAATTCCAGCATATCATAATTTCAAGAGTTTCGTCAAAAGGTTGATGAGACTTGGGGACTCAACAGGGTTGAGTCACACATGTAGTCACCTGTTGGAAATGGCTAAAGGCATGTCCCCAAACCTGAATAGGAAACTGATTGTGGCTGCCAGACAGTTAAAGGGCATCTTAATCTACATGTTATTGCCTCCTACTGGCCAAACACCTGAACAGCCGTAGGCTATTCCCCCATCCTGACAATGGACTCTGTACCCTTTGAAACCTTACCCATTGAAGTGTATTATCTCCACCTTGCCTTAGGACAAATTGTGTTAATAAAAGCAAGGGTCCTAGACAAGGAGGCACTCTTCAGTTCCTTTAGCTGAAGGTCCTCTGACCCCCAATGCCTTTCAAAATTATAACTCGTCTCAGGACTCTTTATCAGTCTCTGGATTTCTATGTCATCTGCGCACAGCCTTTTCCAGATTCCTGAACCCTTCTTGATGCTGGGACATGAACCCCGGCAGAAAGTAATTGTTTAATATTTATGAAAAGATTACAGCCATATTCTTTTGTGATAAGAAAGTCAATATAAAAAGAGCTAGCAAAAAAAAGGTTTAAAATGGGATAAAAAGAAAAACAGGCAATACTAGGTGTTGATAAAAATGTAGAGGACCTGGTACATCCAAACACTGCTGTTAACAGTGTAAACTGAGCAGCACATTGGACAACTATTTGGAAATATCTACTAAAAGTGAACATCTACTTACTAAATGAGGGCAATTTTACCCCTATGCATATAACCAACAGGATGCACATATATATTTGCCAAAAGATATGTATTATTCAAACAGCCAAACCTTGAACCAATCCAAATATCTACATACAGTAAAATGGGTAATAAGTCATAAAATATTCATACACTGGAATACTATACAGAAATGAGAATAAAAAACTAAAATTGAAAGCAATATCATGAATAAATGTCATAAACATAATATTGAGTGAAAGAAGCAAAACACAAAAGAGAATATACTCTACTATTTCATTAAAAAATTTTAAACAGGCAAAACTAAACTACACGCTCATTGGAAGTCAGGATATATGTTATACTTGAACTGGTAGTAATCTTAAGGGATCATTTGTGTGGCATCTGGGATGCTAATAACGTTTCATTTCTTCATCAAGATGCTGATACTAAGTATGTCCACTACCTGAAAATACATTGAGCTGAAATTAAGGATTTGCTCATTTTTTCTGTGTGTACATTACAATTCCATGAAAATTTTTGTTTAAAAAATGTTTGTCAGTGAGGTAAGAGCCAGAAAGGAAGAGTATATAGAAAATTGTTGCTTTCATCATGTTTTCTCACATATTTATCAAATACATATTTTTCTTTCAAAATAAAATTCAAAAAACATGTAAAACACCTTTTAAATTTTTGCTATTAAGCATCAAATATACTTAGAGTTTGGTGAAACAGTGGACTAAATACAATTAATATTTCATTTTAATAAGACAGTTAATCGCAACAAATGCCAGGAAGAGGAAAAACATTACAGGAACATCACCAGCATGTGGGGTGGGGATTTGAAATGGCATTATGCAAATGCAAGGGTCTATATTTGAGTTTTCCCAAATTGGACAAAATAAAGTCCAATGGACAAACATGTTACAAAAAGGGAAACCCGGGCTATACTCCAAGGTGAGATTTTTGTCCATGACACTATCAAACTCTGTATCTGGAGAAATTAAAGATGTTACAAAAGACACTGCATCATGATGAGATTCCTAATTGAATCCGAAGTTGCTTTGGAAGGTCGTGTTTCCCTCTGTTTCTTTGATAGCGCCTTGGGGCGGAAGGTTGGGGATAATTGGCTTCAAGAATTTGAACTCATTTCCGGAGCCTCCTGTCAGACACACCTCATACTGGTAGCTCTGGGACAGGGTCCCAGTACCGGTGACGTCCACCAGGTGGCCCGGAAGGTGGCCCTCAGGCACCGAACAGCCACCCACCCAGGCGGCCCTGCTCCGCCTGCACAGCCGCACCGCGATGAACGCCAGCACCGAGAACAGGAACAGCGACGACACCGACGCCAGCGCGATGACCAGGTACACGGTCAGCGGGTCGGCCTGCGCCGGGTCGGCCGCCGCTTCGGGCAGCGGCAGGTAGGGCTGCGAGAAGCCATCCACCAGCAGCACGTGCAGCGTGACGCTGGCCGACAGCGCGGGCTCGCCATTGTCCTTGACCAGCACCAGCAGCCTGTGCTTGGCCGCGTCGCGCTCGCTCAGCAGCCGCGCCGTGCGCACCTCGCCATTGTGCGCCCACACGCCGAACAGCCCGGGCTCCGTGGCCTTGAGCAGCTGGAACGACAGCCAGGCGTTCTGGCCCGAGTCTGCGTCCACCGCCACCACCTTGCTCACCAGGTAGCCCGGCTCGGCCGCCCTGGGCACCAGCTCGGTGCAGGGCGCAGAGCCGTTCTGCAGCGGGTACAGCACGAAGGGCGCGTTGTCGTTGGCGTCCAGCACCTGCACGCGCACCAGCGCCTGGCTGCTCAGCGCGGGCGACCCGCGGTCCGTGGCGCCCACGCGGAACTCGAACGCCTGCAGCGCCTCGAAGTCCAGCGCCCTCAGGGCGAACAGGTGGCCGTTGTCCGCGTTGATGGACACGAGCGAGGCCAGGGGCAGCCGCGGGTCGCGGGGCGGCAGCAGCGAGTAGGTGAGCTGGGCGTTGGCGCCCGCGTCCCTGTCTGTGGCGCTGACGCTGCCGATGTGCAGGGCGGGGCTGTTGTTCTCGCGCAGGAACAGGGTGTAGGCGGTTTGGGTGAAGGCGGGGGCGTTGTCGTTGACGTCGGAGACCAGCAGGGTGATGTTGTGCTGGGTTTTCAGCCTGGGGGTCCCCATGTCGGTGACGGTGATGGTGACGTTATACTCGGCTCTGCTCTCCCTGTCCAGTGGCCTCTCTGTCACGAGGGTGTAGAAGTTCTTGAATGTGGGTTTCAAGAGAAAAGGAATATCGTCCTGGATGGAACAAACCATCCTGCCATTGTCCCCGGAATCTGGATCAGAAACACTGAAAACAGCAACTACAGTCTCAGGGGAGTTTTCTGGGGTCGAGCTGGCGACTTTCGACAACGTCAGTTCCGGGGCGTTGTCATTCACATCCAGCACCCGGATAGCTACAGAGCATTTCCCTGAAAGGCCTCCACCGTCTGTGGCTGCAATTTGCATATTATAATACTGAGTTGCCTCGAAATCCAATGCCCTTTTCAGACGAATGTCTCCTGTTATTTCATCTATTTCAAATGGTTGAGTAACTTCATTGCCTTGAAAAAGAGTGTAAGTTACATTCCCATACGTTCCGGCATCTGAATCTCTGGCGGAAACAGTAACAACTAAGGAGTTTAGGGGGCTGTTTTCCAGGACCTGTGCCTCATAGAGAGACTGTAGAAACTCGGGGGCGTTGTCATTGATGTCCAGGACTTCGATGCGGAGGGCAGTGGTCCCTGACCTGGGCGGAGCCCCACCATCCAGCGCGGTGAGGGTTAAACTGAGCTCGGGCTGCTCCTCCCGGTCCAGCGCTTTGTCTAGCACCAGCTCGGGGTATTTTCTGCCATCTCCGAAATTATGAGTGACAACATGAAAATGGGGGTTGGGGCTGATTGAGTAGTTCTGAACAGTGTTGCTACCTATGTCCAAGTCCTGAGCTGTTTTCAAAGGAAACACAGTCCCTGGCTGGACGTTCTCTGGGATTTTTAGGAGCATTTCCCTGTCTAGGAACTCGGGGGAATGGTCATTTATATCCGTGAGCTGCAGATCAGCTTGAAAAAACTGCACCGGCTTTTCCAGTAACAGTTGGAATTGCAGTATACAGGGATCTGTAGCCCCGCACAGCACCTCCCGGTCTAGTTTTTCATATAGAAGCAAATCCCCTGTCTTTATATCTAGCTGCAAGGGCTGTTTGTTTCCTCTGTAATGGATTCGCGCACCCCGAGTGGCCAGTTCCCCCACCCTGAGCCCCAGGTCTTTTGCCAGGTTGCCCACAAAGGAGCCACTTTCCGTCTCTTCTGGCATGGAGTACCTAACTGCTTCTGAGCCAGCCTCCCACAAAAACAACAATATGACAAGAAAGACAACTTGCCTTTTCCGCGGCGTTTCAGCCAGCGTGGTCTCCATTGTTCAGACCCAGTTCAAGAAGGTGCAGTTTCTTCAACCCGGTACAATCAATCCAGAGGGCTTCGGTAAATAACCTCGAATTAGATCTTTCTGGCTGAGTCGCACTAGAACGATGCCCTCTCTGAAGATCTCTGCCTGAAATGCTGCCTTCTTTTAGGAAGCAGTCAACGTTCTGATTTCCCAGCTTAATGGCGACCCGGGTCCACAGAGCTCTTCATTCGAACTCCTAGCCTGCAGCGCCACCAGGCGTCCATACTTACTATTGCAAATAGTATTTGCTCTTCATTCCAATTTATAACTCTGGTGTGTATCAATATCTTTTTAAGTCCCAGAAACCTCCAGTTCTTAGTTATTGGAAGCTCTAAATAAACATTTACTGCACTAACTTTAAGTGAAAGAATACTTTTCAGAATAAACTGAAATGATGTATGAGCTTTCTTCAAGAAAGTACCTTTTGAGTACGTGAAGAAACTTTTTTTGAGAGTTTTCTGTTTTAGTATATTTAAGAAATAAGTGATATGAATGCTTACAAACGTCTACAATTTTACAAAAATTATTTTTTAAATTTATTGATTTTAGAGAGGGGAGGGAAGGAGGCACACAGAGAGAAAAACAGATGTGTTGTTCCACTTATGCATTCATTGATTGCTTCTTGTATGTGCTCTGGCAGGAGGTGGAACCCACAGCCTTGGCGTAAGGGGAGGACACTGTAACCAACTGAGCTTCCTGGCCAGAGCCTACAAAAATTACTGTTATCTTTAAATATAGCATACATCAGGAAAGGGTACAAATCATAAGTGTACAATTCAAAGAATTTTCACGAAGTGAATGCACTCCTATAAGCAGAGCCAAATTAAAACTAAAATGTTATCAATACCCTGCAAGCCTCCTTCTGTCTTTGTCTGGCCACTACCCACCCCCCCCCCAAAGGTAAGCACTCTCCTAACTTCTATTATTTTGTATTTTTTGAACATTTATACAAACGAAGTTACAGAGTATTTGCTCTTTTGTGTTTTCCTTCTTCCCCTCAACATTATGTTTGTAAAATGTATCTGTTGTATATTGTTCTGATTTATTCCCATTGCTTTATAACATTCTATTGTATGACTATATCATGATTTGTTTATTCATTCTTCAGTTGATGGACATTGGGGTTTTCCGGTTTGGGGATATTTTTAGTATTGCTGCTATAAACATTCTCGTACACATCTTTTGGTGTCTGAGTGTGCATTTATGTTTAATATATTCCTACGAGTTAGGTTTCTGTGCATTAAGGTGTACACATATATTTAGCTTTAGCAGATATTGCAAAACAGTTTTCAAATGCAGTTTTACCCAAACCAGCAAAGAGTGAGAGTTCCAGTTGCTCCATATCCTTATCAACATTTGACATTGTCTTTTAATATTAACCACTCTGGTCAGTGTGGGATGATATATTGTAACTTTAGTATTTCCATGATGATCAATTAAATTGAGCACATTTCCACATGCTTATTGCCATTAGGATACATTCTTGTAAGTTCTTGAAAAGCTTTTGTCTATTTCTCTATTTGGGATATTTGCCTTTTTTTTTCTGATTCGTCTTTAGAAGTTCTTAATATATTCTGGGTAAAAGTACTTTTTCAGAAATATGTGTTGCAAATATCTTCTCCCACGCTGTGGCGTGGATTTTAACTCTCTTATGGCATCTTTCATGAACCAAACTTCCTAAACTTTAATAGTCTAAACTGTCGATATTTCTCAATGGCTATGGTTAGGACCATTTGTTTTCTCTTTAAGTCTTTGCACACCCCAACATCATAAAAATATTCTTGTATGGTGTTTTTGAAAAATTAATTACTTTAGTTTTCACATTTAGAGCTATAATCCTTTGAAGTTAATTTTCTTCATATGAATGAGATTAGGGTCAAAAATTTTGTTTTCATTTAAACATCCAAGTGATTTTCTACCATTTATTGAAAAGAGGATCCATTCCCCATTGTTTCTGAAGTGTCACTTAATAAAATAAGTGTCAATCAATAAATCAGTAACCATAGGTCTATTAAGAATTTTTTCAATGTTTTTTTTTGTTTATCCTGTAATACAATATTGCCTTAATGTAGCTTCATAATAGGTTTATTATCTGATGGATAAGTCCTCCAGTTCTATTCTTTTTCTTCAAGACTGCTTTGGTTATTATTGTCCCTTTGTATTTCTATATAGACGTTAGATTCAGTCTGTCAATTTCCACAAAGAAATCTACTGAAATTTTGTTTAGGATTTATTACAGCTATAGATTAATTAGGGAGAACTGACATAATTCCCAACATTGAGTTTTCCAACTATTAAACATTACACATTCTGCTATTTAAGATATTTGGCTTCCAATCTCTATTTCTGTTTTGCAACAATAGAATTGTCCTATTTTTTCTACTTCATGTATTTTGTGGAAGTTATCTGAATAATGTTTACTACTAAATTCTAATAATTGAATTTCAAAATGTTGATTTGTCCTACACCAGTCTGGTGGTGATCCCTAGGTGGTAAAGAATGGCCCATGCTTGCTCAGTGGCTGAGCATCGACCAATGATCCAGGAGGTCATGGTTCCATTCCTGGTCAGAACACATGCCTGGGTTGCCCATGTTGCTCAACCGCCACTAGGGGGCACGCAGGAGACAGCCGGTCAATGATTCTCTCCCATCATTGATGTTTTTCTCTCTCTCTCCCTCTTCCTTCCTCTCTGAAATCAATAAATATATATATTTTAAAAAGAATGGCCTATGCTTTATCAATATACACAGTAGTTCATGAAGTAACACACAGAGTAATTAATAAATTTACTACATAAATTCATAAAGGTGTGTTCTGGGTGTTTAGTCAATCTCATTTGGTTGATTATACAAATTGAACTTTCCTGGCATAAACAGAAAAAGTGGACTTGGATTTTTATAATGGTGAAATGTCACCATTTTATATTGGTGAAAATGTCAATCAGATTTCTTGTTATACATAAAAGCCATTTCATTTAAATAGCTAATAATAAATTAAGAAGTCATGAGAGTTGACTACCATATTTGTCTTACATATTTGTTTGTGTTTAATTTTGTTTTCATTTTTATCACTTTCTCATTTCAATGTTTAGATTGGATGAAGGCTAAAAAGCTGTTTTAGAGAATAACTTAAGCCCTGGCCAAGTAGCTCAGTTGGTTGGAGCATTGTTCCTATAAATTGGGGTTGCAGGATCCTGGTCAGGGTACATACGGGAAGCAGCCAATGAGAGCATGGGTGAGTGGAATAACAAATTGATGTTTCTCCCTTCATCTTTCTCCCTAAAATCAATATATAAAGTTTAAAAAAGAGAACAACTTAAATGGACAATTTCCTTTTTTATTTCATTATATCCTTAGAAAAAAAGTAATTCTGGGAAAAGTGCAAGTAATTAAATTCTAGTAGGATGATACTCGAGATTTCAAAATAAATATTTAGACTATAAAGCAAGCTCTTTAATAGCTCATATTGTGCCAAAAGTTCAACTAAGTGGTTTTATGTATATTCATATAAATTTAGTTGAAAATCACATGATTAGGTAACTTGACTTATTGAACACAACATAAAACAATAATAATTCAGATAAGTTCATTTTTTATCTTATTTAATTTCTATTCTTATTGTCCTTAAGGACAAAATAATGCTTATTTCCTACAAAAGAAAGTTCAGCATAATTAATAAATGTATACAAAATATCTAAAAGCTACACTGAATAACAAAACAGAAGATAACAAAAATAAAAAATAAATTGTTAGTTTGTTGACAAAGGCTGTCCATGTCTGCAAAGTAAATTAAAGTGAAAATCTGATATCACCTGAAATCAGATTTGAACAGAATAACTGAAATTCATAAAAAATTACTTGACTCTTTTGAGAAGTAGGGAGAAGCTGCAGAAAACCAAGAGAAACATACAAAAGGAAGGACAAGGAAGTATATCATGCCCTGCACATCTCAAATCCTATGAAAGGATTTACATTTTAATTAAAGTTCTGAGATTATTTTTGAAACCAAGCAATGACTTAGTTTTACTTAGTAAAAGTGATTCCAGATTATATAAGATTTACTCTTTGATGATTAGTTATAATAGAGAATAATTTTTAAAAATTATAACATTAGTGAGTATTTATGGAGTATATACAATGCACAAGGCAAGTAGCAATCAAATAAGAAAATCTCTAGCATATATGATGCCCACAATGGGAGGTCACACTTTTGGAGTGTTAATATTTTAATGAAGTGCATGTTTATGTACAATTTGGGAGAAACAAGTATGCAAAATTATATGCTCATGGTTATTCAGGGGGCATAGCCTGATAGACTAGCCAACAAGAAAGGTCTAGGTAGCTATAAAAAATTTAAAACATTCTGGTCTCATAATGATAAAGGTATATGGTAAAGACAAGAACCACGAATATATAGAAATGAAAGATTACATAAAAGCTTTAAAATGTTTCATTAAAAAAGACATTAACTAATTAAGAAGTTGATTTAAACAAAATGTCTTCTTACACTACTTGAGTAATTTATAGCCATGAAAAGCATAAACCACTGAGAAGGTCAAATACGGAGAAAATACATACTCACTGTTTAGTGTAAGTAGAAATGCAAAGTCCAATAAATATTAATAAAAGAAAGAAACCTAGCACGATCAGGGGCATGCATTGGTTTGGAACAGAGATATACATATTTAGAGAACAATACAATTTCTTAAAAGAAATGCATAGCAACGGCAATTAGGTTGGCAAAAATTAAGGAGAAGCTCACTTCACTAATACAACACTTAACTGAATACAAAGCTATTCCTGCAGTTGGAATTTTCTTTCTCAGGGTCCTGAACCAAGAGGCTAGGGAATATTGGCTTCAGGAACTTGAACTCACCAGTCCCAGGGTCTCCCGTCATACACACCTCATACTGGTAGCTCTGGGACAGGGTCCCAGTGCCGCTGACGTCCACCAGGTGGCCCGGAAGGTGGCCCTCAGGCACCGAACAGCCACCCACCCAGGCGGCCCTGCTCCGCCTGCACAGCCGCACCGCGATGAACGCCAGCACCGAGAACAGGAACAGCGACGACACCGACGCCAGCGCGATGACCAGGTACACGGTCAGCGGGTCGGCCTGCGCCTGGTCGGCCGCCGCTTCGGGCAGCGGCAGGTAGGGCTGCGAGAAGCCATCCACCAGCAGCACGTGCAGCGTGACGCTGGCCGACAGCGCGGGCTCGCCATTGTCCTTGACCAGCACCAGCAGCCTGTGCTTGGCCGCGTCGCGCTCGCTCAGCAGCCGCGCCGTGCGCACCTCGCCATTGTGCGCCCACACGCCGAACAGCCCGGGCTCCGTGGCCTTGAGCAGCTGGAACGACAGCCAGGCGTTCTGGCCCGAGTCTGCGTCCACCGCCACCACCTTGCTCACCAGGTAGCCCGGCTCGGCCGCCCTGGGCACCAGCTCGGTGCAGGGCGCGGAGCCGTTCTGCAGCGGGTACAGCACGAAGGGCGCGTTGTCGTTGGCGTCCAGCACCTGCACGCGCACCAGCGCCTGGCTGCTCAGCGCGGGCGACCCGCGGTCCGTGGCGCCCACGCGGAACTCGAACGCCTGCAGCGCCTCGAAGTCCAGCGCCCTCAGGGCGAACAGGTGGCCGTTGTCCGCGTTGATGGACACGAGCGAGGCCAGGGGCAGCCGCGGGTCGCGGGGCGGCAGCAGCGAGTAGGTGAGCTGGGCGTTGGCGCCCGCGTCCCTGTCTGTGGCGCTGACGCTGCCGATGTGCAGGGCGGGCTGTTGTTCTCGCGCAGGAACAGGGTGTAGGCGGTTTGGGTGAAGGCGGGGGCGTTGTCGTTGACGTCGGACACCAGCAGGGTGATGTTGTGCTGGGTTTTCAGCCTGGGGGTTCCCATGTCGGTGACGGTGATGGTGATGTTGTACTGGGCTCTGCTTTCTCTGTCCAGCGGGCTCTCTGTGACCAGGGTATAGAAATTCTTGAAAGTCGGTTTTAGAACGAATGGCAGGTTATCTGGAATAGAGCAAATCATCTTCCCATTGTCTCCAGAGTCTCTATCTCGAATTCGGAAGATGGAGACTATGGTCTCAGGGGCATTTTCTGGGATAGAGCTGATGAGTGAAGATATGGACAGTTCAGGGGCGTTGTCGTTCACGTCCACCACCTCTATGACTACGGTGCCTTTTCCAGAAAGGCCTCCTCCATCTGTAGCTTCAATCTCCACTTGGTAAGATTTAATTTGTTCAAAATCCAATTTCTTTGTCAGTCGGATTTCTCCTGTGACTTCATTTATTGAGAAAGTTTGCTTAATATCATCTGATGCTTGGAACAAGCCATAGGAAACTCTCCCGAAGTTTCCAGCATCTTTATCCTTGGCTAAGACAGTAATGATTGGAGACTCTAAGGGACTGTTTTCCAGGACCTGCACCTCATATGGGGTGCGCACAAACTCGGGAGCATTGTCATTAACATCCATGACCAGGATTCTCACCGTGACGCTGCCAGACCTAGGTGGAGACCCACCATCCAGCGCCGTGAGGGTTAAGCTGAACTCGGGCTGCTCCTCTCGATCCAGCGCCTTGTCCTGCACCAAATCTGGGTATTTCTTACCCTCACTATGATTTCGAGTAAGAACGTGAAAATATGAATTGGGGCTGATAGTGTATTTTTGAAGACCATTGCTGCCCACATCCAAATCCTGAGCTAATTTCAAGGGAAAAGTAGCCCCTGGCTGGCTGTTTTCCAGTATTTTCAAGAGCATTTCCCTAGTCGGGAATACTGGGGAGTGGTCATTTATGTCCTGGACTGATAATTCTCCTTCAAAAAATTGCACCGGCGTATCCAGCAACAGCTGGAAATGCAATACACACGGTTCAATGGGGCCACATAGCTCTTCCCGGTCTAGTTTCTCCTGCAAAAGCAAATCTCCAGTCTGACGATCCAGCAGCAAGCGCTGCTTGTCATCGTCAGACACCACCCGGGCCGACCTGGCGGCCAGCTCCCCAATTCCCAGGCCCAAGTCCTTGCTCAGATGGGCTACAAAGGAGCCGCTCCCTGTTTCCTCCAGCACAGAATAACGAATAGGCTCCGAGCGAGCCTGAGACAAGAACACTACCAAAATAAAGGCCATCACTTGCCTGTTTGGTTGAATTCTCTGTAGCGTCTCCATGTTGGAACCCGGGCGCTCACAGCCAGTCCCTTCAGCAACCAAAAAGACTTGAGATTTCTTGCTTGGTGGAGTCCTCACAAAGTTGCTTTGAATATTAAATTCGTTTCGTGTATCTTCCCCCAAACTCGTTGGTAACCCAGTACCGCTAGCAAAGCTCTTCCGTGTGAGTTTGATTCCGTCTTGGAACAAAGGAATGCGCAAGCTTATTCATAATCTTAGCCTGCAGCGCCACCCTGCGTCTTGATTGAGAAAATATTCTCAAGTCAAAGTATATTTTGGAAGTATCCAAAAGAAACCCATTTTTGAAGTGTATAGAGCTTTTACGAAGTTGCTATGCCATTAAATTGCATAACTTATCAGGTTATGCCGTTACACCGCATGAGCTAGAATAATTGTGAGTCCAAAACAAGAGTGTATTTCGGCCCCCCACAACCTAATCAGTGGAACTTCAAAGAATTCAATTTCCCTCTTGCATCATCTAACTAGGGGAATAAACTCTTATAAAATTACAATTAATGGAAAGTATATCTGTTTGTTTTCAAGTCTGTGAGAAATGTACGATGATGCAAAACTTTGTTAAGGGGCCCTGTGCCACATAGTCTCAGGAGACTGTTTTTCCAAGGAAAGGTTCTATCCTCCTGCACTGGTGTGCAAATAGTAATACAGTGGAAGGAGGAGGCATCTTGCTTTGTTATAAGTCCTTTTACAGTTTGAACTGACTTTACATTTAGAAGGAAGTCAGGTAGTGTTAGAATCAGATTCTTAGAACTGGACAGGAAATGAAAGGAGGCCTCATAGATAAAGCAACAAGCTCAGAGGGTAATATCAAGACAAAATCAAGTGAGTAAAAATCATAGAATTATCCATGTTTTATAATGAGTTTGCATTTTACCATATTCATCCTTTGTGTCCCATATATCATCTTGGCTAGATGATTTGGGTGAAAACAAGAAGCCCAGATTTAAAATATTTTAATCTGTGAGCAAAGGGTGCTTCAGGCCTTTTCCACTCATATAAGGTGCAGAGAAGAAACTTGTTTACAAAATGGATTTCAGAACAGTGCACAGCTATTGAGATTGTTCTGATAAATGAGTTTTTCATTTATAGTCTATTGAATGGAATACCACTTATCTTGGCACATATGGGATTTCCCCTCCCTAAATATCTTATAATCTACTTACTTAATGCATTTAACAAACTATAATTCATATTGAATGAATTATTTTTAAAGTCTAGCAATACTCTTAGATTCTAATAGGGAAAATTATTTTGAAAGAAGTCTGGATTGTAGTAGTCATTCAATAAATATCAGTTGAATAAATAATTAATCCACCCTAATGATCACGTTTCTGCCTATATAAGAAGATTATTGCCAGATCATACATTCAGCCATAAACATGTCTGAAATTGAATAGAAAATTCTGAGACATGAAGGTATAATACATGCTAAACACTATTCAATTAAATTTATTTTGATTCTAGTTCTAGTAATTCCTGTAAGAGATATAGCAGTGGCAATAATATTAATACACTTTAGAAATACTTCATATTTCATATTTAAGACAGATGAGAGGAGATACAATAGATGTCAACATTAAGTGAAATAAAAAACATACTGAAAAAAAATAAAATAAAGGGTATTATTTTAAATATAAATAAAAAACAAATCTGGAAAAAGCAAAGACCAAATTGTGTATAATATAGTAATTAAGTTCTAGTTAGACTCAAGTTAAAGAGCTCAGAACAAATATGTGCCACTATATTCCAGATATTATTCTAAGCATTTTACATGTATTAATTCATTTTTATCCCTCCAATACCCTATGAGGTGGGCATCTTATTAGCCACATTTTATAGATGAAGAGATTGAGGGCACAGGAAGTTTAAATAACCTGCTCAAACAAAATAGAGACTGACTTATAGATGCAGAGGGGATTGGGGTGGGGCCAGGGGAAAAAGATGAAAGGATTAAGCAAAAAACAAACAAACAAACAAACAAAAAACCTCATAACCTGCTCATAGTCACACATCATGTGAAATGGCAGAGCTAGGATTCAAACTGTTACAGCATGGCTCCAGAAAGCATTCTTTTATCTACCTAAGTGGAACCGGAGAAGTGAACAAGTTTTTAGATCATTTTTTTAAAAATATATTTTATTGATTTTTCACAGAAAGGAAGGGAGAGAGATAGAAAGTTAGAAACATCGATCAGCTGCCTCCTGCACATCTCCCACTGGGGATGTGCCTGCAACCCAGGTACATGCCCTTGACCGGAATCGAACCTGGGACCTTTCAGTCCGCAGGCCGACGCTCTATCCATTGAGCCAAACCGGTTTCGGCAAGTTTTTAGATCATTTAGATCAAACTTGAGCCTGATCTTGGGTACATAAATATCATAGGTGAAATATATTTGTATTCAAGTTTTCAATTAATATAAGAACCTTTAAAATAGCTTGTTTCCATTTAGAGATATGTACCAGCAAAGAGAGGTGCTTACAAAACTTAGAAATAGAAAGGAAAATTGATAATATTTTGTTGATGTCATTAATTAGGTTAAAAAATTTATGAGTGACTCCCTGTTGTCTTAAATATTGTAGAAAAAATATCTATGGCCCTAGTTGGTTTGGCTTAATGGATATAGCATCGGCCTGCGGACTGAAGAGTCCCGGGTTTGATTCTGGTCAGGGGCACATGCCCGGGGTTGTGGGCTTGATCTCCAGTGAGGGGTGTGCAGGAGGCAGCTGATCAATGATTTTCTCTCATCATTGATGTTTCTCTCTCTCTCCCTCTCCCTTCTTCTCTGAAATCAATAAAAATACATAAAAAAGAAAAAACATCTATGTATAGATCTTTTAAAATAGTAGTAGGGTATAAAGTTAAAATCAAGAAGGGTAGCTTGAGAAATTTGTGATGAAATCTAAGGCAATTTTTAATAATTCTCTATAGTTACATACTAAATAAAATATAGTATTTATATTTTTAATGTGACAAACTATTCAAATATCTAATGTCTAACTTATCCTACATCTTTAAAATCAGGAAGTGTGAGTCCTCCAATTTTGTTCTTTTTAAAAATTGTTTTGGCTATTCTGAGTCCCTTGCATTTTCATATGAATTTTAGGGTCAATTTACCAATTTTTGTCCAAAAAAAAAAAAAGCAGCTAGCTAGCTAGGATTTTGATAGAGATTGTGTTGAATCTGTTGACCAATTTGGAGGGTATCACCATTTTAACAATATTAAGTCTTCCAATCTGTGAACACTTTTCATTTACTTAGGTCTTCTTTAATTCTTTTCAGTGATGTTTTGTAGTATTTAGTATACAAATCTTGCACTTATTTTTTTCAATTTATTCCTAAGTTTTTTATTCTTTTTCGTGCAATCATAAATGGAATTGTTTTCTTCATTTTGGGGTTGTCTAATGCTAGTGTACAGAAATACTAATTGATTTTTGTTTATTGATCTTATATTCTCCAACCTAGCTAAAATCATTTATCCATTTTAGTAGTATTTGTGGATTCCTTTGCATTTTCTTTATGGACTATTGTGTTATCTGCAAATACAATTTTACTTCTTCATTTCCAATCTGAATTATTTTATTTGTTTTACTTGTCTAATTGCCCTGGCTAGAACTTCTAGTATAATGTTAAATGGAAACAGTGGGATGGAACATCCATGGTTTGTTTCTGATCTTACAGGAAAAGTTTTCAGTCTTTCACCATTGCATATGAAGTTAGCTGTGGGTTTTTATAGTTGCCCTATATCAGGTTGAGTACGTATACTATGATTCCTATTTGTTGAGTTTTTAACATGAAAAAGTATTGGGTTTTGTAAAATAATTTTCTCCATTTATTGAGACAGTTGTATGGTTTTGTCCTTTCTTGTTAATATGGTGAGTTTCATTGATTAACTTTCATATGTTAAACCCAACCTTGTTTTTTGGGGGACAAATCCCACTTGGTCAAGGTGTATAAACCGTTTTTATGTTGCTGGAGTCAGTTAGCTAATATTTTGTTGAGGATTTTTGCCTCTATATTAATAAAGTATATATTTAGTTTTCTTTTCTTGTGTTACCTATGTCTGATTTGGGCATCAGGGTAATACTAGCTTCATTGAATGAATTGGGAACTGGTCCCTGCTCCTTTTCTTAAACAAGATGTGAAGGATTGGTATTAATTCTTTAAACATTTGGTAGAATTCACCAGTGAAGACATTTAATCCTGGGCTTTTATTTGTGGAAAGTTTTTTGATTGCTGATTAAATCTTGTTGAATAGGATGAGACATTCAGAGTGAAGAAATCCATTTCCCCAGAGACAAAGAAATTTAAGAAAAATCCCCCTCAAAATTACAATATTTAGAGAATTTTAATTTTTTATAAACCCCCAATTTTTCTATAAGTTGTTTCTCATGAAAGTATCTCCTTACGCATAGCCCATATAAGTTGGAGACAATGACTTCAGAAATCTAAACCCTTTTGTCTCTGATATTCCAGTCAGAAACCTCTCACAATAACGATCTGGGACTAAGTCCCAGTGATGCTGAAATCCTCAAAATGAAAATAGCCTGTGTGCAGCAGTCCATTGAAGGTTCCCTGTTCATCCTCCACGTGAACAGCTGAGTCAAGTCAGTGAACAAGAGAACCCGCAGGCTTGGGTAGACTTCTGTGGGTGATTCAATGAATGGGAGGCAGAGCTGGGGTAGGTCCTAGGCCAGGTGTAGAATTACCATACCAAATAAAGGTGGCTTCTAGTTGTCCTTAATAATAGCACCAGCTCGTGTCTAGCTGTGGCTATCACATAGGAGCCTAGATAAGCACGCTAAACATCAAGTACTCACTCTGAGACCTTGAATCATTGATAAAATACTCATGAGTTCTAACTCAAGTCACCATCCAGGTTAGCACCTTGTTCTACTGGCACCAACTCAGTGTAAAATATAGGATTGCTTTGCAGAGGTTTTTTATTTTGTCATCCAGCATGTTGTGTGTCATACAGAACTGCCATGTGCAGCACTGTCATGCCTCTTAATCAAGACCATAATTTTTCCTATAGGTAATCCCAATGTATCACTTCAGTTTCAACTCAATTTTCCTCAAAATCAGCTTGATTATTATTCACATCAGCTTGTTTACTCTGAAGCTTGAAAAGTAAAAAAAT